ATGGAAAGAAAAAAAATGAAACTCTACTGATAAGAAAGACATGTTTTCTTTTCTTTTGAATTCTACAAGCAAAAAGGTATTGTCAATCATGGCTTTTTTGTATTTTTTAAATGTATTCTGCATTTTACAGAGTTTTAAAAATCTATGGCGACTTCGTCAAATATGGAGACACCCATTAAGTATTGTGTAAAATGTGACGGTATGAAAAGTAGTCGTAGTCTATTCACTTGTGACGGTTGTCAACAGAAGTTTTGTGGACGACATGTTAGCGAACATCAACAAGAACTGAGTTTTCAGCTTGAAAATATCATGCAAAAATATAACTTAATTCAACAAGAATCAAATCAGTCAAAACCAGATGAGTCTATTTTGAAAAAAGTCGATGAATGGGTGAAAGAATCTATTATCAAAATTCAAAAAATAGCTGAAAAAACTCGTATCGATTTTTATCGATGGCATCAGAGTAAAAACGACCAAGTTAAAAAAGAATGCAATGAACTCGCTAAAAAACTATCTGTTGCTCATGAAACTAATGACTTTTCTGAACCTGATCTCACTAAATGGAGTCAAATATTGGATAACCTTAGAACGGAATTGGAGTCAATGACAAAGGTTGACATTGTTGAAGATGAATACTCTTATATCCATTCCATTAAAATTGAACATAATATTCAATGCTCCCGAAACGGTCGTCTACAAGAAGATTTGAACTCCATGACGATAAAGCACTCAGGTAATATTAGCAATCGAACGAATACTGATCAACATGAAGTTAAAATTGTGGAATCTCCCAAGTTTCGTCGGCGAGCGCCAAAAACAGGATCTAATACAAATATTATCAGAGATTCTGAATGCAAACAACAATAGTTTGATTGATATTTTTTGTATTTTCAAGAACCAATCAGAATTCACAATCCTTTATTATACAGTTATTTCTTTCTTCTATAATGAAAGTTTTCGTGTTATAATGTGCATACGTATTTTTAGATATCAATCATTTTTAACATAATATTCATGTGTAACGTCTCAGCAAAACCTGTAAATAAAAACCAGAGTGTGGATATGGGTATTGTGATTTTCTTCATCCGCACCCACACTTAAACTCAACTAAAAAAAATGATTCTAATGAATGCGCAACCTTACAATCGAGGACCAATAAGTTTAGTCCATAACCGTTATTAAATTCGACTAATTGTACTTTATAATAAGAAATGAGTCTATGTATTGAATTATCAAGATTAAGAGAAGATGCAAACATTCCATCTATGAAGATCAAACTTATGTTTAGAGAATGAAGTATCATCACGAAGAAATAGGTCCGAGGAAATATTATTCTTATCAGATATACGTATAATAATTGTTGGATGAAGATCAAAGTTTCGTTTTCAGTGCTATAGATGTGCTGCCCATGATTTGATCAATAGGCAATCATGGATTGTGCAACTCGATCAGTGGAGCAGTAATTGAGGACTAAGTAACTAAATTAATTATAAACTGTGTAGGAAGATAGTATGATATTCATTAATAGCTTTAATGTTATTTGAAGACAATTATCCATACACCATATCGAACATTAATGATATCTATTTATTGAATTTATATATATTTGAGGGTGAGGGTAAGTTTAAGATATGTTTTATCGTACGCAGGGTTGCTTCGACTGAGAAGGGATGTCGAGGGTGTAACATCCCCAATCTTCAATAACTTTTGCTTTTTTTTCAACAAAATTCAAAAATTTTCTTGTATTCTGCTAGCAAAAATAATGGTACACCCCCTTCCCCCAAAAATTCTCAACAGTTGACCTTCACGTCAGAAAAATTCGCTACACCCTCTCTCCCAATCTTGGTTGATTCGAAGTAGCCCTGATCATATGAGAAAGCAAAGATGAAATTCTCAACACAAAAGTTGTATTTTCAGTTCACTTGTTCACGAAGTTATATTCGTATAAATGATTCATATATAAATGTGAACAACAGTAATTGGGTGAAATTTCGTCTTTTCATTACTATGCAGGAATATTTCTCACGTAAAGGACACTTAAAAAAAAATGATGAATGTGTTTGATGTCTGATTCTCAGGATATAGCCTTCGTAGCAGTCCTCCGTGAATATATAGGAAAGTATAGGATTTTACAAGCAACATTTATATAGGATCTCTCTTAAAATATTGAAAAAATAGACAACAAACTCTTGTTCGGAAAAAGCACTTTTAAAAGGATATTGGAATCACTAGAGAAATGTATAAAATCATACACAATTTACTTCTCAGATTATTTTAGATAAATTTTTATAAGAATACACGCTTAAATCGATGAAAACAAAGAATAGAACTTTGTTATTCAAAAAAGTAAAATTAAGTGCTAGCCTTTATTCGATTTACTGATAGGCGCTTAGTAATAGGTGCATGAAAACAATGATAAAGCAGAGAAAATACCGAACTTAACAATGAAGAAAAATAGTTGATTATTACTTGTTCTTCGACTTAAGTTATTAATTTTCACCGCTACCATGTGGCGCTCGTCAGAACTTCATAATTGACATAGGCATAAATATGAATAATAATAGAGAAAGATATCTCTTTCAATCGACTGAGATTGTTACATTAACTGCACTATTCTATTCTTAGTGATGATGTTCAGCAAATCATTTCTTATTTTATTACAAGTTTAAAATGAAATAATATTCTAACAAAACAAGGCTGTGAATGTAGATAAAGAGAAGACAACATCAACACCCACATCCTAGTTAAAGAACTATTAAGAGCCGTTTTTCAAAATATTCAAAAGAACTTTCGTGATGATGTTGTTTCGTCTGAGAAAGCAAGAGCTAAAGCAACTAATTGTTATTATGTGTCATATACAGATACAAATACCAAATATAAATGTATGTTAAGTTTTTCATGGGTATTTGCTACTCAACCTCTCACCGACTATTTCATTCATTCAGAAGATGAAGAAGAAACAAATAATTTCATGAGACAGACGTTCGATTCTGATTCAGATTTGTATGATTACATGTAACAAGATTTCTCGTCATTATAAATCTACTTCCAAATGACAACCAATTCACATTTATGGAACTTGATATTGATTACAATTACGAAAGCTATACATTCGAACTAACACTTACCTATAGAATCTTCTTCAACAAACTTATTTATTCATTAAGTCAGGATTTTTACATGATCTATATTTCAGTTGTTCGTATCTCTTTATAGTCCACAACAAATATATCTTTTGTCTTACTCATTCCATTCAAATCAATTTTAATCATTCAATTTTAGTCATTCTTTATGTTCAATACGAATGAGATCAACATGAGATTTATGCAAAATAACAAAGTGAATGACATATAATACAACGTAATATAAATACGCTATGACTTATTTCATAGTGATTGGAAATCGATTTTGGTAAATGATTCAAATATTAGTATTATTATCTTAGTTTTAGGTACTCTAATAGCTTCCAATTATCTACGTCTGTCTAAATAAATTTACTTGATATTGACATATGCATTGTATTGGCTACAACTTGTCGTTGAATTATCACATAATGTCAGTTAATGACAGATTATTGATTTCCAACAACTGAAGACATCGAAGTTTTTACTTGCGAATAAAATTCCTGGTCAATTTATTGAACTTACTCACAACTTAAATGATTCTTTTTTTTTCATGAGTTTTCTGTAGATTGAACAAAATTTTCACCACTAAAAGTTAGACAATGTTTTGCTACAGCAATGGAACTATACGGCATTGTGAATATCAAATGTTGTATTATTGGATTCAGATGACTTTTTTGGTTTAGTACATAATTTAGAAATGATTCTCATTTTTTCTGTTAAGAAGGCGAGTTTAATTCAGTTTTTTTTTATTACAAGATTTCGCGAATGGTAAAATTTTGTTTATCTTAGGTCAAAAGAAATCTATGATACAGTAAAAGGTGTACAAAGTAATTGTAAAAAGAATACAAATGATTCTGAATATGCAATAAATTATAATCTTGATTTCTTGGACTTTATTCAGCACTATAATAAGATTCACATCATGCTGATGTTCTTTTTTTTTTTTAGAGAAACCAAATACAGTAAAAAGTCTCTGTAAAAGTATGTGTTATAGTCTCATGAATAATAGCAACCTCCATAATGTGAGTAATTCATGATTTATCACTCAAATGCAGAATGAGAAAACAAATGATGTTATCTGTATTGCGTCATGACAAACAATTATAGAAAAATACAATATTTACCAAAATAATTCAACAAAGTTTATTTTCAATTTTTTTTCCATTGTCATAAGTTCTAGAAAAATTTGAAATAGTGATTCAAATAGATACTATTGTTTACAACAGGAACATGAGAAAATAATAATTCTTGTCTAGTTTTCAAAGACTGACGTAAGAGAATAGAAGAGCTACATTCATTCCTTATCTTTGCTTCTAGTGAACATAATGCAAGTTAAACCAAGAAAAAGCGTGGAAATATCTATGGTGGTAATAAATGATTGTTGTTGGTTTTAAAACAATCAAAAATTAATATGTCCAACTACTTTCTAAGTTTTATTTTAAACATGCTCTTAAAAGTACACTATTTGCTCTATTTATGACTGAAACAGCTATACTTCTCGCATTCTTCGTTCGGACATAGCACGCTCCTACACTTATGCTGATACTTAGGCGTCGTAGGGTAGTTGAAAAATTTTGCTTAAAATTTCATTTGTTATCTAAAAAGGTATTATTGTTTGCATAGGTTGATTCATGTATTGTTATCTATTTCAATGTAAAAAAAAAGATCAAAGAAATAAAATCTTCTCATCATAGTTATTGCGATCTTCTTGTGCAATGAAAACAAGAAATACGTCACATGTTGTCTTTTTTATCTGTGATAACTGAATATATAAAATTAAAAAGAGAATATAAAAGCTGCACAGCAGAGATATTGAAAGAGAAAACAACTAAAGAACGAAACAAGACACTTGAGATTATCACAAACTTTGAAACAATGCAGTATGATGCAAACAAACAAGGTATGAATAACTATGGAAATGTCTACGGTAATCAATATTCACCTACCAATCAACCACCATATGGAGCCGGAAATGTTTATCTGTACGTAATATATTTTAGTCTCTATTTTGGTTTTTGAAAAATAATTATTCATTTTATTGTCGTTTTTTTGAAAGACCGAATAATGCACCACCACCTTATGTACCATATCCTCAGCATCCATCTGCTTATCCTACATCAGGTGCACCATATAATGGTTCAACACCCATTTATCAACAACAAGCAGTTGTTGTTGCACCTATTTATCGACCAATGTGGAATTATTTGACACCGACACCGATTACTTCTAATCTTCGAGTATTTTTTATGATTTCGGGTCTTCTATATTTGATATGGGGTGTATTAGTTATTGGACTCGAAATTGGCATTATTGTTTATTCTTATTGGAGATATTATACTGGTTTTTGGACAGGATCTTTTTTTATTGCTGGAGGAATTACTATGTTAATTGTAGCATGTAGACCATCTTATGCGATGACTCATTTAATTCGACTATTTGGCTTGTGTTTGTTCCTTTCTATACTGGGACTCATCTTGTCTATTGTTTATGTAGCTACATTAAATCAATGTAGTTCAACATACTATTGGTATTATTGCTACAGTTCAACAGGACGAAATCTAAAAATAGCTCTTTTGATATTCTTTATTATTACATCTATTCATACTATTATAAATATGATTGTGGCTAGTAATGCGCGAAAATCAACAGCATCAGCATCTAATTAAAGTGTTCCAAATCAATAATAGTTTATGATAACCCAAATTTAATATGAATATTTGACTGAAATCGAAAATAATTTTTTTTCTTTAATGTCGAACATGAACATCTTTTGCTAATAAATAAAATCGTTGATATTATCTATTTTTTTACTATTTTTCCAATCAAAATGTCATGGAAAAATAGAAAATGTTTTCAATGCAATAACTTCTTTGTCTTATAAAAAACAAAAATAAGTATTTTTTTTTTCTTCAAAGAAATCATGATTCAAATCAAATAACTAACTATGATGCTGTCAATATTGTGATTGATTGTTGAGAAGTATAATTCACATCACAGTCGTCGTTCGTTTGATTCTAATTTCTTGAAATTGAAATCTGCACAGAAAAACGTCTCATACTATAAAGGTTTCGACATATGAGAATGCATTCTTTAAAAATCAATTTTTTTCTAAATAATTTCTGTAACTTTTTAATTTATTTCTAGTATTCAAGTTTTATATTAATATCTAAGCTTAGTATGAACAATATTTTGATTCTATCGTCGTAGCATTGTGTCGGTTGCGAGTTTTACAGCAAACTCTGAAGAAATTCTTTAGGCTTTCTATACGAAAATCTAAACCGTTTTCCTTTTTTCGAAAAATATTGTATGATGCACTTCTTCTCAGTATGAAAACTTATTTCTTTTCGCAAAAAGATGCAAAGGAATTTTTCGGCACAGACAAGAGACAATCCTTAAGAAACACTGAATATGAACGAATACTGTCTATACTAGTCAAACTTCAAAATAAGTGACTGTCTGAAATAGATTTGACAAAAAAAAATTTAAGGTTCTTCTTCATTTCGCAAGGTTCGACCAGTGAAATAAAATCGATTACTAACGATATATTGAACGAAAATAAACTGAAACTAAGATTTATCAGTAAGAATACCAGAAAACTATACCTGGGAGCGCTTTAATCGATCAAAATACTAAAAAGGATTATAGAAAAAATGAGTTTTTACTCAGCATCAGTTTTATTTGAATAGAATCATTGATGACTGTTTCACAGTTAGTGCGTAGATATGTTATTATACAAAAGTTTGACGATATTGACTATTTAATGTTATATTACGTGTGATATACTCATCAAAGTATACATAAGTAAACATCATCCATTGTATAAATCTATCCGAAAGACAAATGTGTTATTTCTATAGCAATTTCTGATTAACCAAATTCTGAACGTGAATTCAAATTGCATGAAATTTGCAGAATCGCTCTGAACTGTAGTGGAGAGACTATAGTAAAGTTCTTAGTCTTATAATATGACGTATGAGGTAGATATTCAATAAACAAGGATCAATAATGGCTCATTCAGTAACCAAAAGTTCCCTGTCGGATAACAAGTTCAATAACCCAAAACACTCCTATTTTTTTGCAGTTTTTTAGTTGTTGCAATTGTTATTCATTTTCTCCACTTAACAAGTAAAAACTTACAAAAAGAGAATTTTCAGTTACCGGATGAGTAATTGTTGACCTTTGTTTAGTGAATGTCTCCCTCAAACGACAGGTTATAAGTCTAAAAATTTTACCATTGTTTCTCCACTATACTTCCAACATATCTTGAAAATTTCATACGATTTGCTTGTGCCTGGACCAAAATCGATTTTGCCAAAAGATGGTAGTGGCCTTAAGTATCTGAATACTTTTTGCAGTACATGTAATATCAATATAATTTTTGTTAGACAGACATTTTTTATTTGACATTCTCACTGAAATGTTCTTGAATATTTTTGTTGT